CTCGTATAAGCCCCGTTCCATCCGAGCCCGCACCTTACGGCGGTTGAGCTACAATCCCATGACCCTGGACTCCAGTTCCTCCAGCGGCGAGGAGCCCACGAAGCCCAGTCTTGCCCGTTCCGAGTGCGACATCCGGGCCAGAGTGACGGCCAGCTCGAATTCCTCGTTGGGCAGACGCCGACGAGCGGGAATGAATCGCCAGGTGCAGTCCGCTTGTCATGACGAACGTGAGGCCATCATCTCTCCTCGTCAAATCTACGGCTCCAATTCGAGCATCAAGTCTGCTCCGCACTACAACATTGGTGGGCAGCGGCGCAGCTTTCACAGAGGAGGAGCAGGCATGATGGGCGGTGGCTACGAACAGTTCCAATACGACGAGCGCATTTACGATTTCGGAGGACGTGGTCCAGGCAACAACTACAATATGGCCCATGCGAGCTATCTGAGCTCGAGTCAAAAGCCCAGTTACATTTTAAACGGCACCGAATTGCCCGGATCCGGATCGGGATCCTCTTCGGCTGCCTCGTCGGCAGTGCAGGCCACCTATAGGACGGGAGCTGGTGCCCCCATACAGCGACCCATGAGCGGTGGAGCAGCCTTGCACGAGTTTGACATTAGCCGGCTCACAGGAAAGAGTCCAACTTCCACCAATTTTGTGGGAAGTTCGCCGGAGGAACTTAAACAGCGCCAGCTTTCGGTGGGCTCACTGCTAGCTCCCACCAACAAACTGGTGAAGCCCCAGCGACCCACTGAGTTCCACTGGCCGGAGAAGATACACGCATCGGCGGTGAAGCAGCATGAGATGCACTGGAGGCAGATGCAACAGCAGCAGCAGCAGCAGCAGCTGTCCACAGCAACGATAATTGGTGCGGCGAGTGGAGGAGTGGCAGTGGCAGCCACGAGATCCAGTGATAGCTCCTCCTCATCCAGCACCGAGAGCGGTGATGAGTACCAGTTCCGCCGCGAGTTCGTGGCGCCACGAATTCCGCCCAGTCCGGCTCCATAACTAAGGAAAATGCTGAAATACGTTCTCAATTTACTGTTTGGCAATGTGATGTCCGATTAGAGGCGATGGATAGATGCGAATTGGATCCGGAAAGTCGTGGTCACGAATGGAGGCTCCTCGTGGAGCTTGGCGATGTGGTGTTTGTGCTACTGTCTGTGTGTGTGAAGAAGGGAGCGTAGAGTGTTGGCGTCGAAGAGTAAATTGAAGAAGTATTTACAGCGAATAGATTATATATTTTTTGGATTTGCATTTTTGAAGCGAGATGAGAGTGTGCCTTATAGGAAAACACCGAAGACCTCTCAGAACAGATAATAATGATGTGTAGATCAGCTGCACACCTTCCAAACCATTCTATCATCCAGTACATCATCTTCATCAACAGCTAAACTCCACTTTATTACATACATAATAGCGGTTTCCTTTTTCAAGTTGGATAAAATATGACGAAATATAGTATCATGTTTTGGAATTGATCTTCACCCTCATTTCGTCAAATTTAATCCAAATCGAAATCGGTAATACATCTAAACTTTTCTCCGCATCTCTCAAACAAAACAACAAATACTCTATTCAGTAGCCTAAAGTCAATATACAAAACTTTTCTTCAACTTTTCACTACAAGAAACACAAATAACAAATATAATGGCTTCCAAACGGAATGAAAAATGTTCAAGAATTTTTTAAAAATAAAACCTAACAAGAGCTTGGTTGTCGGAAACAGTTTTTCAAGGCACAAGACAAACACAAACACTCACACTTATTGAGGGGACTCCAACTAGACAGGGTATTACCTATTACCAGTGAGAACTGCAACTTAGGATCTCACGGCGGTAATTATAAGTCACACACAGACACAGAAAAACAACCAGACAAACAGTCATCCACACACAACTGTTGACAATCCTCAGAACTTGTCCACATCAAAAGACATTCGTCGGAGCAAGAATCCCGTACGGATTATGTGCCATATCCTGACGCTTGCATTTTTTATGAAACCAAAGCTAAAGCGAAACCAAAACGAAAAACCAAACAAGTTACACGATACCGAAACCAAGAGAAGCATTTAAGCTCACTTTAACTAGAGTGTCGAACCCTATAGTATCTATAAGATTGGAGATTGAAGTGTCAAGTATTGGCCCACTAACCATAACGAAACCAAAAGCAAAACTAAAAATTAACATTAATTAAATTGCCGACGGCTGCAGAGTGCCGAACATTTTTGATAACCTCACTAAGCATATATTATATGGATTATACTTACTAAAAGATTTTCGCATTCTATGCATTTATGGATAAACTCAAATTGAAAGTATGATATACAGATTATATATACACCTACTTAAATCTAAATCAACCTAATTATATGTTTACAAGTATAGTGGCGTATGCGGTAATGTAAGCATTACGGAACATGATATTCTAAACTATGCGTTTGAAGCGTTTCAACCCAGAGAACATAAAACTAAATGAAAACCAAAATTTACTTGAGTATTATACAAGAAACCCCCAAAAAAACTAAACTAAACTACATTTAACTAAGCAACAAGTATTTCAAAAAAAAAGGAAGAGTTTAAATTCTAAGAACCAAAAAAAGTTAATTGGTAATCAAAAAAGAAAATGTTGTGCATATTTAAAGGGATTCAATAAAGAAAAACTAATTCTGAATTTCAATTCTGACGTTGGCTTTTAAGATCAATTACAAAACCTTAGTTCCTTGCACCGCTTTAGTTCTTATGGTTTTATATCCCAACATTATCATTTTGTACAATTTCATTTCCATTCCTTTTATTCCTACCCCGCCCCCACAGTCGCTCATCGGCAAGGAAGGACTGGAGGCCTACAACAGCCTGATCGAGCGCAAGGCCCTTCTGGACATCGGACCCAGTCCGGCATCCACATTGCTCCGCCACCTGGACACCGACGAGTTCGATCTGCAGAGTCTTCACCAGTCGCAGCGGCCGATGACGTTGCCCACTCGAGGAGCATCCCAGCGGGTGCGCAAGGCGGAACTGGCAGCCGGTTTTAGTCGCCCAAACGACGAGAACTCCAATTCGCTGGAGACTTGCGAGAGTCCCAGCTACATGACCCACGGCAGCTACAAGTTCCCCGAGGCGCAACAGGCGGAGCCGCTGCCAGAGCCGGAGTCACCGAATCCCATTCCCCTGCCGCCGCGCGAGGGCAAGAAGCAGGTGAAGACCAGCACCAAGCGCCATGTGCGCAAGTACCCGCTGATCATTCCAGCCAATGGACTGCAGCGCACCCTCAGCAAGCTAACGGACTTCGGGGACGATGCTGGAAAAACTCCGGAGATCTCCTCCTCTACCCAACAGCAGAGAGGACGAGCCATCGAAGTGGTGGCCGCTGTTCGGCCAAACAGCATGCGACGCCCATCACGTCCCTCGGAGCGGGAATACGAGAACATGCCGGCGGTGGGCAGTGAATCGGCCCACACCTACCAGAACCTAGATAAGTTGGCTCCCGCGGATGCTGCCGGCCTTACGGACACGGCTTCACTGCAGTTTGAGTCCATCCTGGAAGCAGACTCCAGTAAGGAGGGCATCCTGCAGTCGCCGGACGTGACCGATGGCTTCTACAACTTCTCCATCCAGAAGGAGCACTACAACAAGGGCAAGGATGCGGAGTTCGATGCCACCCAGATCTCCGGCTTGTATGTGAACGATGACGAGCTGCGCAATCTGGACATCGAGAGCAGCCGGAAGACGGCCACTCCAGGCAGCAGTTGTAGTGCCTTGGAGGCGGAAGCCAGCCAACAAGATGGACAGCCCCCAGCAGAGGCTGCTCCGGAAGTGAGTCGTCGCTTCTCCAGTGCGGACAATGAGCTGGCTGGCAATGCTCTGTTTAAGAAGGTTCGGGCCTCCGTCAATATGGCCATGAGTAATCGGAACTCCGTTAGCGAAACGAGTTCCAGCAGCAGTCATCCTGGAGGGGCTTCTGCCAAGCCGCAAACTGAGGCCGAATACTTTGCAGCCACTGCGGCTCGACTGGCGGATTCCAATTCGGTGAGCTGCGAGGATTTGCTGGAGTTCTCCGACAAGAAGCCCAAGGGATGCGAAAGGGGCGTTGACTCGGATGAAGTGCGCATCATGGTGAAAGTTCTCGGCAAGGATGTGAGTTATTTTGTTTAGTGTAGCAAATCATTTATTTTTTTACGTTTTATTAGAAAAGTTGTTAATACTAATCATAATGGTTGTTCCACAGAGTACGCCCAACCGCTGCTTGGGAGCCCTGGAGTTTATCAATTGGGACGTTCATAAGTCCATCAAGCTCATCAAGCTGCAGAACCTGGTCAGCGAAGCCAATCTCAGTCTGGAAGCCTCTTTCGAGGCGCTGCAGCAGCACGAATGGGATTTGCACACCACGGCCCACAAACTGAATGGCCTTAAACTTTAAATAGTCCCCTAAGGACCCCTACTCTTCGATCGCCCTGATCTGTTTTAAACGACCGCCGTTGCCTTAACCTCATAACTATCGTTTCTAATTCGTAAGCTAAGCATTGGATAGACTTAAGTAACTAACGTAATCACTGCTCGCCATTGGCTTCCTTCATTCGGATCAATCGAATCTCAGCATGTACTTATTCACGCATGCTTGGTCTGCATGCAAGTTACCAGCATCAAAATACACATTTATACACCTACTTATATAGACATTTTCAATAAATTATAAAAAAAACTCATTCAGAGTTTTAGTTTTGTAACTCAATTATTTTTAGTATTTTTTATGGGTTGAGGGGACTTGTATGTTGAAGTACCTTAATGAAACTATTTTTTCTTGGAGCAAACTTAACCGGTTTTTCAATGTTGTGTGTTTTTTTGTACGTGTAAGTCGAAAATTTAGACCAATTTTAAAACGATCGAACAAGACATTTGTTTTCAAGGTTACGCTATACAGTTCTGAGCTCAATCGTGTGTTTCTCGAATCTACGTTTGTTTAGAAACCATATACGCCTTGTACCAATTAAAATGCCAAAATGTTTATTGAATTTGTGTTAAATTATTTAACGATTTATTTAAACTTGAAACTACTATAAAATTTACACATATTTTACACAAAGAAACGGCAACACAACTTAACTCTAACGAACGAACACAGAATACACAACGGGAAATGGTCAGGGTGAATCCAGTTGGGCGCTATTTCCGCCTGCCGCCGCGCTTGCCGTCCATGCTCATGGTCAGGGCCACGGCCCGCGTCACGCGCTTTGGCGTGGACACTTGCAGCTGGCCGCCACTGAGGTTCATCTCGAGGGACATCCGTTTCCGGGTCATGCACATGGAATTGATCCGCTGTGCCCGCGCCTCGTTTCGCGTGGTGACTTTTGGGGTGCTGGAACTGGGGCGGGATCGGATTAAGGACAACGCCTTATTGATTGGCTTCTTGGACTTGGTAGGCCTTGGCTCTGGTGCATTTGCAGTTTCGGGTTCAGATTCAGAACTAGACTCTATTTCGGAGTCCGATTGTACAACGACCGCGGGAGGGACTTGGTTCTCCTTGACCGACGACGTGCTGTCCGTGGGACTGTTCGTGTTTTTGGTCATCTGCTGTCGCCGGGAACTCCTGTTGTCCAGACACGGTTGCTTTCGCAGCGGTGAATCGCGGGGCGGTGATGGAGCTGTCGATTCACTTGATTGCACGGAGCGGGAGTTGGGATCTGACGGAGTTCGTCTCAGCACTCTTTTCCGGCCGTTTCTTAAAGGCGTCTCCAGATGCAGGACTTTTCGCTGATGATAATCAAAAACAAACGAAAACAAAAATGTGAAAATCAAATGAATGCTGCTGTCCCCTTTACCAAGTAAGATTAGTGAGTGTCTTATACAGGATCTACCCGGATGCGAAACTAAACAGGGCGTGCATCATTAATTCTAGGAAGCTTAAAGGAAACTACAATTTGTGTTCAGTTTTGGAAACATTTGTTGATTGTTAATGCCGATTGCAACTTTGATCTTAAACTAAACAGCTGGTAGATGGTGAGTGAGTCCTTTGGCAGTGGCTAGAGCTGCATGCGCAAGCGCCTGATACTCACTTTGCTAACTGGGTTGGGTGTTGTCTGGGATATAGAATTGCTGGCCGCTTTTCTGTTGCGCAGCGATCGAACGCGTAGATGGCTGGCATCCGGTGCACTTTTCGGACTGGGTGAGGCGGCTGTGGGCGATGCTTCGATTACCTCCGAATCGTTTGACTTAAAGAGAGACCCAAAGTTAGTGGCTGCAATTGTGTGGGGCAAAATGGTATTCTTACCCTATTTGTCACGGTTGGACTCTCAGAAATCTCCTCGTCGGACGATTCCTCTTCACTAGACACCCGTTTTTCTGGTGTCTTCGACGACCTGGCCATCGCCATTTCAAGGCGACGTCTTATCTGCGGCTGTCGTAAATTTCGCCTGGATGTCTCTGCGGCCTCCGTTTCAGTTTTTTCCTCCGGTTCGGGCGTTTGTGGACCTAATAAGCTTTCGGCTTCCGAATGGCTGATGGCCATGGATCGACGCAGGTGACGTATTCCGACAATATTATCCTTTCCATAAGTAGTTACGATGGGCTCGGGCGTTGGCGCTGCTGGTTCGACTGGTCTTGGAGTTTCAGGAGCTTCTTGTACCGATGCTTCGCTTTGCTGAGTTTCTGAAGCAGAGGTTTGAGTTACCTCACGAGTCGTATCTTCGGGAACTGGAGGGGCTGACTGTGCTGGCACTTCAGTTTCCAACTCCGCAGTTGTCACAGTGGCTGTATCGCACTCCTCATCGCTTTCGCCTTCTCCGGGATTTTGACGAGGGGGCGGATTGAAGCTACCGTTCACCGCCAGCTTGAAGTTCTCAATGTTCTTTATCACGCGGGGATCCAAGTCGCTCTGTAAAATTAACAAGAATCAAATAAGAACAAGATTTTTTTGAAACATTTAATGCAAAAGTACTCACAGCTATCAGTTTGTCCGCCAGTTCGAACATTTCAGTCTTAATCTCCGATCCGTTGAAAACGTTTATTGACAAAGCCGTAAGCTCCTTGGCTAGCAGACGGCACATTTCCTTGCGTTCCGTGAAGTAGTTCTGAATATATTGCAGAAAACTTATAGCCATTTTGTTGTGGATATTCGTTTGGGGCGTGCTGATCTCTTGCACTGTCATTTCGAGGAAGAACTTGGTTAAGTTTTCGGGCTGGACGCCGTTAAGCGGCGAGTCAAAGCTGCAGTTCATGATGGTCCAAACTGTGGGCAGAAAACACGGCTGCAAGAGATTCTGCTTGTTGAGGCGTCTCAGTTCTTCGAAGAACATTCCCAGCACTTGGCTGATAATGGGCTCGGTGTTCGGGTTAAAGTATCGCTTCAGCAGCTGCTCCATCACATCCGTTCGATCGTCAAGATGACCGCGGAGCACCAAGCGGCACAGACCGCGAACGATGGCCAAGCCAACGCCTTTGTTCTGCACTCGCTCCACGTAGTGTCCCATAACCATGATGATATCGCTGTTCTGCTCGTTGTTCTGAGACTGGGTGCCATCGTCGTCATCGTAGAGATCCTGCATGGTGTACAGCTGTCGTCGCTTCGTCTTCGACACTTGCGCACCGCCGGTCTGGTTAAGATCGTTGAAGTAGTCCACGCCGTAGCGATCCAGCAGCTCCAGCATGCAGTTGGCCGCCGTTTCGCACAGCCGCACGATGTTGTTGTTGCAGAACTGGTCCACCACCACCTCGAAGACCTCCTTGCAGTATGCCTCATAAAACATGCTAAAGGTGGTGCCGCACTTGATGGCCCACTCGAAAATATCCACCTCGGCGCAGGGAAGATAGCGACATATGAAGTCCTTGTACAGCTGGCAAAGGCTCGGCGTCAGCTTGTCGACATGCGGCGAGGCGGTCATGTAGTAGCAGATGTACAGGCCCTTCAGCACACGTTCCTGCTTGGACAGCTTTGGGCGGGCGGGCACCTCAAGCACTCCGTTTCGCTCCAGGAGAGGGCGAATCAACTCCGTGTACTCCTCGGTGACAGCCATCTTCTCATCGTTTACGGACTGCGCCCGTATGTATTCCTTCTGGCGCACATAGTTGTCCTCCTGCTCCTCCATCTCTAGAATCCTGACCTTCAGAGAGGATATCTTCATCTTCAGCGGCGTGTCCAAGTCGTCCAGCAACTTATTGATCAAACTGCGGTCGTGTATCAGCTCATTCTGCTTGGTGTTCAGCTCGCACAGCTCGTAGACGATCTCGATGAAGAACTGCATCCGATCGTTCATGTCGGTGATCAGTTGCTCCATGCAGCGCACCAGCACGCACACGATCTTGTGGTCCAAGAGGCAGTCCTTCAGCAGGTTTGATATCAGCAAGCGCATATTTCCTCGTCCGATCTCGTCGCCCAGATCGTACGACTCCAGTATCTCCACCAGCGAGAGCAGCATGTTTTGAAACTCGACCTGGGCGAACTTGTCCATGTCGGGCTTTTGAAACTGACAGAATCTGCAAAACGGAATGCATTTAGTACCGAATGTTGCTGAGGAGCAGATCCTCTGACTTACTTATCCATATAGTTGCAAAAGACACTGAGTTCCGGCAGAACGGGCTCCGTTTCGGGCGCCTCCATCTCCAGATACTCGCTGAGACACTGCCAGTATAGCAGCAGCTCCACGGTCAGCAAATCGTGTGGGATGCAGCGATGCAGTTCACAGTCGTCGCTTAACGGCAGCTGTTCGATGAGTTTCTGGTGGTCTGTCTGGTCGAAAATCACTCTCAGCATTTGCTTGGCCACACGCCGGAAGCGCAGCAGCTCCTCCTCGTTGGAGTCCAGCTTAAGGGCCGCCGTGAGGGCGATGTAGTTGTGCTGGTACGACTCGATCCACGTCTTAAGCATGTAGTTGACCACCGTTTTGCGCACGGTGGCCGAGTTGTCGTTCAGACCCTGCTCTAGCAGTGTGAGGCGCTGCGCCACCTTGTAGGAGCGCACTGGGTAGTTGCACATGTTCACATACGTGTGGCGGCGCACTTTCTCATCGACGTCCCACAGGCGCTGCAGTATGTGCGGAATGGTGATGTAGTTCCGGCCCATGCACGTGATGATGCACTGGCGCACATTGGGCGAGGGATCGGCGGTGAGGTGATACTGATACGCGCAGACGACAGGGTCGTTGGGATTGTCCGGATTTTGAAGACGCTGCATGGCCAGCACGGCCTGTTTGCGCACACTGGCGGACACATCCTTGACGCGGTCCAGCATTCCGTCCAGGATATCATCGCACTGATTGTCATCCAAGGCGGCATTGGGCCCCAGTTCCTTGAGTATGAGATTCACAAAGTAGCAGATGCGGTAGCGTATGTGCGGATTGCTGGAATATGTCTGTGAAGGCGGGGAAACCCGGAAGGTTATAGGTACATTTTGGCAGTACAGTAGGTACAGTAAACACTCACCGTGAGCAGCCAGCGGAAGGTCTCGGCCAGCATGGGCTCCGTGCGATCCTCGGTGGGAGTCGTGACGAAGTTGGCGCAGAAGTTCAGCGCCATGGTGGCATTCTCGTTGCCCTCCTCCGCTTCGAGAACGGCCTTCAGGACGTTGATGAAGACCTGCTGGAAGTGCTCGTGGCCCATCTGCCGGGAATTACAAGAGTTAGGGCTTGAAATCCCATATAAATCGGCCAGCAGCACCGACGCCACTTACCTTTGTGTACAGTTGCTGCATCTCCTTCACGTAGCGCTTGTGTAGAGATTCCTTGAGTTCGGTCTGTCGCATTATCGAGTACATGACTTCCGGGGATGTGGAGGATGTGGTCGCCGCCACGCCCTGATCCTCGTTCTCCTTCTCAACATCTTTGCTGGACTTTTTGGTGGCCACCCGAGGCTTTCTCCCAACCGTTGCCTTTGGTTTGGCCTTCTCGGCCGCCTTCCCCTTTGGTCTGGCCATTCCGTGTTGCTTGATCCGCGTGATCGTGATCCGCAGCCGTTGTTGGAGCGGCGTTTTTCGGGTTTTAAGTTTAAGTTAAAAACTGTTTTCAAATTGCACCAAGCGATGGCGAAACAAACAAGCGTCGCGTTATTGCTTTCTCCGCTTTCCACCCCCGTTCGCTTGTTAAATTCAAAAGACGCGTGTGGATTTTTTAGTGTGTTTTTGTACGGGGCTGCGATCGATGAGTGAGATCGCTTGCCTATCGGTTGCTACGTTCCATTTTGAATTTAACTGAAATATGTATACACCGATAACAAAACTATCAGTTATTTGAAACATTTTATTTGTATTTTGATTTCCAATTGTCTGATCCTAAGCCTGCCCATGCGTTATTTCGTTATTGTGTTTGCTCAGACCTCAGATCAATATATTGTATAAATCAAAAAATGTAAATACTATTTTTTAGCATAGGGACTAAAAATTATAAATTTTTTTGGAATTATAATTTTTTTTCCAAATCTTTTTTAATTTCATGTTATTATTATTTTATAAAAATAATAGTTTTATTTGCATTTCAAATTTAATGATTTAAATAAAGATTGTGAGGGAGAATAAAATAAAATGGTATTTTAAAAAAAATATATACAAAAATATAATCCACAAAGTGGCTCAAGTTTTAAAACATTATAAAATTATATTTTGATACTAAAATGAAATCCTAAAAACTAAGCCATTCTATTTTGAATTTTTTTTTTAAAAGATCACAGCATTTTCAACCCTGTAATACCTATCAAATTGTAACACAATGATGCTGTACTTCTAATCTGCCTCCCAGAAAAGGCAATTGGGATTTTTGGTGGTGGTTTTTCAAAACCACGTACTGTGTTTCGGAATACTCAGAAATATATTTAGAAATAAATTTTATCTTGAAATGGCGGAATTCAAATTTAAAAACAAATACTGCAAGGAAATCTATCCTTTGATAAGAACGGGAGGACATAGCCGTTTTGTAATTGCTTTTGAGTTTCAGGACCAGTATTCTGGTATATCTGGTACTTCCCTTATGCAATCGTGGGTTCACGATATGTGCCTTGAACATAAGACTGTTTTTCGCTTTTCACTTGACATTGGAATATATAAAAAACAGTATACTTTACTTAAGGTGTTTAAGCTCTAATCTAATTGTGTAATTAGGAGAACCCATTACTCAGAATCGAATGTTTAGAATAGCTTCTTGCATATAATGTAATGCCTACTTATCATCTTTCATGTCTTTTGCTTTCCCTAAGTAAGGTGTTTGTTTGAGTGCTAATCTCTTTTATTTATTTTTAAATAAATAAGTCAGAATTTTCGTTTAATACTTATAAATACTCTTCTATCCTAGAACATATCCAAAGCAGACGCTTCGTGCCACCTATATGAGATCGAAAGATCATTCCTTCCTTAAAAATTATCCAGACAGGAGGGGAGAGAAAAGAAATATACTACAGATCGACTGCAAGTTAATCAAGAGAGACCGAACAGAAATCGGTCGTGAATTTTGTTGATATTGTAAATTTTATTAATTTTGTCATCCTAAAATTATGACAAACTTGAAGTTACTTATAACATTAAAATAAATTCGGTAAAATTTTCGGAAAAGTTGTGGATGGCACAGGGTGCAATTATAGCACCCCTTACTTCTTCTGACAGTGAAGTCACCAACAATGTAAGGCCTCCCAACATTACTTTCTAAATAACTACTTAAATACTTATTCAACTCAAAAAATTATAAAAAAAGTCTCTAATAAATCCCAACAATAGATCATTTTAAATCAAATGTGATGGGGTCAAAGAAAGAAGATCATTACCGTTGGTAGAAGAATGTCATTTGAAACATTTTAATATACATATGAGGCGTGCATATACTAATAGAACCTAATTCTGACTGGGCCACGAACATGTCTCGCATTTCCAAGCGCGTCTACGAGGCGAAGACCACTTATCCGGATCGCACCAAGTCCGAGGAGAAGTCCTTCACGGAGGTAAATGTGCCGATCAAGAAGCTGGACACGGCCCTCCTCCTGCTGAGCTCCAAGGAGGAGTGCGTCCTGCTGACCGTCTTTAGCCACATCACGGACTTTGCCCGCCGCCAGGATGTTAATGTCCTGGAGCTGCGGGCTTACGGCTTGCTGGAGCTGCTCCTGGAGAAGGAACTGTTCATCAGCTCGGCAAACACGATGATCCGCCGCTTCGCCCTGTACCTGCTCACTGCTATGCTGGACAACACGGACATGTCCACCTACGAGCCAGAGCAGGCGGATCAGATCCTGGAGCTGGCCTGTCGGTTCTACCTGAAGGAGTGCGACGACTTCTGCATCGAGTACCTGACCTATATACTCAATGTGTGCCTGCGAGATCCCCAGATGGCCCACGGCATTGTGGAGGCCACCGAGTTCCTGGAGAAGTTCAAGTTGGTCTTTGTCAATTCCGAGAATCCCGACACGGTTTTCAACTCCATTGAGGCACTGCATCGTATGCTGCTGGTCCAAAGTGCCGAGCAGATGCTGGAGTTTACCACGCAGCCGGACTTTCCGGTGGATCGGATTATCTGCGAGGTGACCAACGAGTTCCAGGAGATCCGCAAGGCGGCGCTGAAAACCCTAAAGACCCTGCTGGCGGACACCGGCGAGGACAGTGTCTTCGAGCCACTGCATCGCTGCTTCTTCGTTCTGGAGCAGCTGGTAAAGGCCTTCTGCGAGAATCCCCAGGGACCGGAGGCCGCCGATATCGTGGAGGTTCTGGCCACGGCTCTGCGATCCGAGAAGATGACCAAGCTGTTCTTCGAGCAGAATCTCTTCGACCTGGTCGTCGAGCAGGTTCGCAGCCACATGGACCTGATGCCACTGGAGATGCGCTGCACCATCATAGCGATCTTCGCGGAGACGGCTCAGTATGAGCAGTTCCTGAAGCGGATGCACAGGGCCGAGATCACGGACATGTTCCTCAACTGCCTGATGCAGAACAAGCCGGCGCCGGCCGCCTTCGTCATTCAGGGCCTCCACCGCATGTCCCAGCATCCGGATGCACTGCGTCGCATTGTGGCCGCCTACGAGGAGGGAGCGATCCGAAAGCTGGTGGCCATCCTCCTATCGTCCGACGTGGCCATCAAGGTCCGGGAGCAGGCGGCGGAGTTCCTATCCCGCCTGCTGGTGGCCGCCTTCCGAGACACAGCCGCCCAGCTGCAGGAGCAGGACATCGCCGCCGTTCTCACAGCGGTCATCACCCAGGGTCAGCCAACCCTGTCCATTGATCTCATCCTCTCGCTGCTGGCGATCATCGAGAGTCTGGCCCAGAACGAGGAGTACCGCACGATCCTCGGCGAGTATAGATCGCTAACCGAGCAGCTTGCCCAGCTACTAATGGTGGTTATTCAGATATATCATCTTGTATCCTAATAATCGAGTCATCCGATGACAGCGTTCCTATGCCCACTCCATCCTGGTGAACAACATCTTCCGCTGTTTGTGCACCCTGATCGATGAGGCTCCGGTGCGCGAGACCCTGCTGGCCAACTTCATAGTCTCCTCCATCAAGCGGGCCCTCAAGTCCCTGTCCAATCTGGTCAAGACCTCGGTGACTAACTTTATTCTGCAGACCACGCGGTTTAATGAGTTCATAGACGCCTACATCGATCGTGGGATCCTGGAAGTGTAAGATTACATCATCTCTTCCCACTATTGTGTTAATATTTCTTGTTTCCAGTTTGCTGGAGTTCCAGAAGCACGCTTTCTGCGTTTCCACCTGGGGACCCGCCATCGAGAGCATTCTGTCCAAGTGCCCCACAATGAAGTTCGCCATCCGCAACTGCCTGACCTTCACGGATATCACTGCCGGCAAGGATTTCTATGTGTCGCGCAGAAAGTTCGAGGACTTCCGAAAATTCCAGGATATCCTACGAAACGATTGTTCGCCCCTGGATGCCGTTCTGGTGGTGAACTTCGATCGTCCCAAGCCGGATGAGAACGATGTGATCGACGTGCCACTAAGATGTTTAAATACGGTCTCCGATATGCCTGGAGATCTGAGCTGGGATTACTGCAAGCGACCGGGAGACTTCTACTTGCCGCAGTACTTGGAGGCACTTAATCAGACTCTAGCGGTGGGTTATCCATGTTTCCGATTGGTAGTAAAAATTTATATTTGAACCCCTCTTCACCTTAAGATTCATGGTTTGGTGGAGAATCCGGAGCGCATCCGTCGTTCCATCGACTTTGACAACGTGGCCAAGCGGAGCAAGCTGATCGCCCAGGCAGTCTTTGCAGTGATGAACGAGAATCTCAAGCCTCTGGACCTCAATGCGACGGAGGAGTGCTGCAAGAATACGGTCCGCTGCCATCTGCAGGACTTGCGCCACGTCCTCCATACGAACTTCATTCCACTGGGCATGGTGCGCAGTGGCTGCCAGTTCGAGCGGGCTGTGCTCTTCAAGGGCCTGGCCGACCAGATCGGACTTCCGTGCACCCTGCAGCGCAGTGTCGACGGCAGGATGCTCTTCAACGAGGTGCCACTGCCCCTTGAGCCCGAGAAGGATGTGCACTGCGACAAGAAGACGCTCAAGTTCATGCCCTGGCGCATGCTGCGACCCACCCACGTGGTGGACCTCATGTACAACGTGGGCGAACTGTATCCGATGCAGAGTCGCCAGGCTCTGCAGTACCTGCGACTCTACTGATTCCCACTTTCTGAGTTTGCAAAATTATCCTGTCCAATTGTTTGTCGTGTAATGCATGGTAGTACTAAAGATATTTTTTTCGGAAAATTTAGTCTTATAATTCCCAAGCTTTTATTTCGAAAATGCAGGCTTAAAGTGTTACAAAATAAAAGTAGTGATAGCAGATCAAGTTAATAATTTAACAATTCTTTACTGTTATTACTCGTATAAGAGGATCAGCGGTATATTTAGGTTAAAGCATTCGAGAGATAGTTTCTAACCGTGTAAAAAATAATAATTTGTAGATCAAAATGTGTGACATTGAAAAGATCAAGCTACCAATATACAGAAAAAAAACATAGTGTTCAATTTAATATCGCATTGTAATTTTATTAATTATAATAATTCTTTCCTTAAAAATTCATGGAGATAACTCATAAAATTAATCTGGGTAAGATCGAGACACCCATATTCGAAACTTGCCGAATTAAAAAAGAGAGC